TCAGGAGGTGCTGGGGCGTGGGTTCTTCATTGGGGACCCCCGTGCGCGGGACGGGGGTGCTGGGGTCCAGAGGAGCTATCCCGGGGTGTATACGGGGGACCCCAAAACCCTTCGTTGTTCTGGTGGGCGGGTCTTGCCATGCCCCCCCATTCCAGTTAGGATTCTGCTATCCCCCCACCCTGGCTGCATTTCTGCATCCTTCCCCCTAAGAAGGGATTTGCGATGAAAACTGGAAAGTTGCCCCTGTTGGGTCGGGGAAGTGGCGGGGACCCTGTTGCTTCCCGAGGGGCGCTGGGACTTTGACAGAAGAGGGAGGGCCCCCAGGCCCGTGTTTGCAGGCGGGGTGACAACATCGGGGTGTCGTGTGCAGGGCACCGGGTCTCTGCCTGTCCTGGGGGGCTCCCCTTTTAGGAAGCAGCCCGGCTGGCGCCCTGGGGATGGGAGGCCCCGTTAGGTCAATGCCTTCGGTCCCGCCGGTGTGGTCGGGCGGGCGTGGGACAGTGCTCTGACCTGGTCACCTGACTTGGTAGCCCAGGGTTGTCCAGATACAGGGGTAGCTTGACGGGGGGTGAGGTGGGAGGTGCTGTCTGCTGGGGGAAGCAAGTCAGATCTGGGCCTCCCCCCAACCTGGGCTCTAGGTAAGCTTGAAATGCCTGGTAGACGGACGTAGGCACGTCTGTTGGGTTTCTGGGAAATGTGTCAAACCCTCTAAGACACTAGGGTCTCAGCTTGTTTGGAGGACTGAAAGGTAATGTACTTTCAAGAAGGGGCTTCTGTTTGAGTCCACACGAGGGTGGTGGATGCTGGTGGTGCTGTGGTTAATTGCTCGACTGTAAACCAAAAAGTTGTCAGTTCAAACCCACCAGCTGATGTGCGCAGCAGAAAGGTGTGGCATTCAGCTTCCGTGAAGACCACAGCCTGGGAAAATCCTCTGGTTAGGAGGCGGAACCAACTCCACAGCCAAGGATTTGGATTTTTAATCAAAGACTTCCCCTAAGGCCAAAAAGATTTTACGGGAGAGATTGGAACACTGTACTTATAGCAGCCCAAATGAATGGAGGTCAGATCACAACTTTCAGACCGCACTGGGGTGGCTTGGTGAATGTACAAGCCTCCCCACCTGTTAGCACCTGCTCCTCCCAGCCCTGAACCAGTGTGGTGCAGAGCCTGGCCACAGCAGAAACTAGTGTGAAAAGAGAGGGAATTTTGAAATACTGGGAATGTCCCTTAAGCCTGAGGCCGGTGTCTAACCCAGTGGGCTCTTGCCCTGCTCTTGGGCAGGTTGAGGATGAACGGTGGACAGATGTTGGTGATGTTTTGAGCAGTGTCCTCGCTCCAGGTTGTGTTTTTTAGTAACTAAGTTGCGCTTCCTAATTTACTTGTAGATTGCTGCCAAGATTGGAGGCGACGCTGCTACAACCGTGAACAACAGCACTCCCGATTTTGGTTTTGGGGGCCAGAAGCGACAGTTGGAGGATGGAGGTAGCTCACTGCGCACCACTGTCATCGTTTGGGAAGAGGATCATGGGGTGTAGCCTGAGGTCTTTGTGAGGGTGGGTGGGAGGTCCACTGGTTTTGGGTCATTTCACACTCAGCAATGCCCAGTTTGTTCAGCCTTTCTGTTCGGGTCTGCCGTCCTGAGGTGTCAAGTAGCCGAGAGGTGTGCGTTCTAGAGATTTTTCTGTTATCGACTCTGCCTCCTTCCCATAGACCCCTTCTGACCCAGGCAGGTTTGCTAGGCAGCTGCCATTGGTCATTGGTTATACAGAGCTTTTTGACCTTGGGGCTAGTGGGAGGATGGGGGGTGTCTGGTCCTCCTGGGCTTGGTCTCTTCTAGTGACCTGTCTGAACTCTGATACTGGGCTGGGGTATGGGTGGCCCAGGACATGTGGCGTTAACATTAGATTTGAGGCAGCCAGGGTTTGGTGGGTACTGCATGACCCTCTCTCTCTTAAACAGACCAACCCGAGAGCAAGAAGTTGGCTGCCCAGGGAGACTGTAAGTCCACAGAACCCAAGAGGGTGCTAGGGGTTGGGAGCAGGAGTAGACCATAGCTCTCCTTGTTGGAGACCCTGGGGTCCGTGAGCTGGAGGGAGCCACCCCCACCCCACCCCATCCCTGGAGCTGAGGCAGAAGTGTCCTGTACACATGCTTCTCTGGGGCGGGAGCTCAGGTGCTCACGGGCAGGGCTGCAGCGGGTCTCCCCATTCCCTGAGCAGCACTAGCCAACCTGGCCTTTGGGACTTCTCTTCACAGCTATCAGCTCTCAGCTAGGACCCATCCACCCTCCCCCGAGGTAAGTTGCGGGTGCTGTCTGCCTGGGCTACTACTCAGGCACTTGGCTGCCTGCACCCCCTCCTGTACTCTGGAGGGGCTCGAAGCCCTCAGCTACCCTGAGGGTAGAGACAAAATGGGACACAGATGCCTGTCTCCCTAGAAAGGGCCAGGCAGCGGTTTTGACTGTTGTCTGTCTTTTGCAAGTGCTCCTTCCTGCAGGTCCGTTGAGCTGTGAGTCCAGGTAGGCTTAGGTGAATCTAGTGCTGCCCTCCGCAAGCGAGTCTCCTTCATTGCACTTTTTAACAAGCCAAAAGTTTCATAGGACGTGATAGTACGGACACACTGTGAGAGTACGAGTCCTAGTGTGTGTGGCACTGGACACAGGGTCAGCAGTTCACACCCATCAGTTGCTCCTCAGAAACCCTATACAGGGTCGCTGTGAGTTGAAACCGACTCAATGACATTTCGCAACAGCAGAGGAGTGATGTGAGTGGTGTAAAGCCAGCGTTTTTATGATTGGAGTCGGCAGACAAGTTACTCTGACTGGTTATTAAAGCCTTGCTGAGTTTGTTCTTGGTCTGAGTCAGTGAAACAGCACTGGTCCTTGGGCCACAGTGCCCAGTCCCACCCTCTCAGGGTAGATGGGGAAAGCGAGGCCCCCAGAGGTAGGCATGGTGGGCTGCCGCGGATAGGAGAGCCTGTGTTGAGACCTTGTGGTAAGTTAGTTTTCATGTTGTCGGAAGCGGTATCTGAAGCCAGACATCTGGAGGGTGGTCCTCGCCGGGATTGGTTCTAGGACTCAGGAGCCAGGGCTTTCTGTCCAGGAGGTCCCCCCTTGGGACTGACTGACACGTCTCTCCACAGGACTTCGATGACAGAAGAGTACAGGGTCCCAGATGGCATGGTGGGACTGAGTAAGTGTGGCAGCTGTCAGTCCCCATCACCTTGGGAGAGGGACACCATTATCCCCGCTTCCAGGGAGAACTTTACTGCTCGCTTTTGCCTGTTCTCTGTGGATGTGGGACAGGGGCCCCTTCTTAGAGTCTCCTGCTCTGGGTTCCTTCCATCAGCCTACCTTCTTCCTTTTCTTCCCCCCAGTCATTGGTCGAGGAGGAGAACAGATAAACAAAATCCAGCAGGATTCGGGCTGCAAAGTACAGATCTCACCAGGTATGAGGTCTGGGTTCCTGCCGGGCCGGGGGCTGAAACTGCTGCAGGCATTCCGCTTTGGTGCTGACTGCAAGTGAGCTGAGCCCTCGCTCTGCTACGAGGGGAATGTGACCATTTACATGCTGCTGGGGGAGGGGAAGGTCTAGGACCAAACATTGCACCTAAAATGAGGGATTCAGTTCAAGCTCCGCTTGGTTACGTGTCTCGTCTGAAGCAAGTTGTTCCTTCTTTGTACCCCACATTTCTGAGCTGCTTGGTACCCATGTGGCAGGGATTTCCAAGTGTTCACCCTGGTGTCTAAAGGTCCTCAACTTTGGAGGGTACTTGCCAGTGCTCATGGGGATATAGAGGGTCATGACCCAGTCAGGGTCTTTTGGCATTTACCTCTCTCACCCTGTATTCTCAATGAGTTTGTCCCCACTTCCTGGGTTGGAAGTTGTTTGGTCTTGGTCTTGCCTGGGACAAGTTCCTGGTGTTGGGAGGCAGGTGGACTTGCCAGGCTGCTCCGTAGTAGTGGGAAACCCTTCCAGGTGTCCCCTCCCCAGCGAGGTTGCTGATCCTCTCTCTTCTCCAGACAGCGGTGGTCTCCCTGAGCGCAGCGTGTCCCTCACAGGAGCCCCTGAGTCTGTCCAGTAAGTCCCCGCTGCCCCCAAAGAGGGCCTCCAAATCAGGTCATTTTGGAAATCAAGTGACTATTTTTTGGTGCCGAGGTCTCATTGCCTGCCACCTGGGTCTCCAGAGTCTGAGGTCGGGGCCACCTTGGACTGACCCTCTTCCTCATTACCTGTCACATACCCCTGGGTCCCCTGAGTCTGAGGTCTGGGCCACCTGGGACTGACCCTCTACCTCGTTACCTGTCAGACGCTCCTGGCACTCACTTCCTTGGAGCTGGGTGGACCCTGTGATCTCTTGTCCCGTGGTGGTGCCATCCCTCCCTTTGCAGGAAAGCCAAGATGATGCTGGATGACATCGTCTCACGGGGTCGCGGCGGCCCGCCAGGGCAGTTCCACGACAGTTCCAATGGAGGTCAGAATGGCACTGTGCAGGAGATCATGATCCCTGCAGGCAAGGCTGGCCTGGTCATTGGCAAGGGTGGGGAGACCATCAAACAGCTGCAGGTGAGTGCACCCCTCCTCTCGTCTGTGTCTGCCTGCCCCCGCCAACCTGCCTGTGGGAGCTGGTGCCAGGGCCCAGCCCTCACCCTTAATCTTGGTGTCAAGGAACGAGCGGGAGTGAAGATGATCTTGATCCAAGATGGCTCCCAGAACACCAATGTGGACAAACCTCTGCGCATCATCGGGGACCCCTACAAAGTGCAGGTGAGCAGGGGCTGCTGGGCAGGGCACATGGAAAGAGCCTTGCTGTCTGGATTCTGAAAGTGTGCGTCAGGCCTGTACGTTGGGGGTCAGTGGGCACGTTGGCGGTAGGGGTTATGTGGACTGTGCCCATGTTCCTGCAGCAAGCCTGCGAGATGGTGATGGACATTCTGCGGGAGCGAGACCAGGGGGGCTTCGGGGACCGGAACGAATACGGATCTCGGATCAGCGGGGGCATTGATGTGAGTGTGGGCCTCCCCCAGGGGGCAGCAGAGGGGTGGGACAGCAGTCCCTCACACCCACTCTCCCCTCAGGTACCAGTGCCCAGGCATTCGGTTGGAGTGGTCATCGGCCGAAGTGGAGAGATGATCAAGAAAATCCAGAATGACGCTGGCGTGCGGATACAGTTCAAACAAGGTGTGTCTTCAAGACTCGCCTCACCCTCTCCCAGCCCAGTGTCTGCTGTCCTTCCCATCCCCTGCCACCCCTCAGCACAGCCGGAGGGGGGCCAGGGTCCCCTTTCTTCTTGGGACTTGTTCTCAGTTCTGGGATGTCAGAGGCAACTGCTCTCTGAGCACACCAAGGTCAGTGAGGGACAGTTCAAGGAGGTGGTCACTTGGGGTTTGTCTCTGCTCTCTGCTGCCTACAGATGATGGAACGGGTCCTGAGAAGATTGCTCACATCATGGGGCCTCCTGACAGATGTGAGCATGCAGCCCGCATCATCAATGACCTCCTCCAGAGCCTCCGGGTCAGTGACTGGACACAGCCAAGGGGCTGTCTAACTCTTCTCAGGGATGCGCCTATTTCACGGCCCCCTGTCACCCCCTTTTCTTGTCTTGCAGAGTGGTCCTCCAGGGCCTCCTGGTGGTCCAGGTATGCCCCCAGGGGGCCGAGGCCGAGGAAGAGGTCAAGGCAACTGGGGGCCCCCAGGTGGGGAGATGACCTTCTCCATCCCCACTCACAAGTGTGGGCTAGTCATTGGCCGAGGTGAGTGCCCCCGCCGCGCCCCTGCGCAGCCTCCCCCATCTCTTGCCCCCTCCCTGCACTCAACCTCTCTGGCTGCTTGCTGTAGGCGGGGAGAACGTGAAAGCCATAAACCAGCAGACAGGCGCCTTTGTGGAGATCTCGCGGCAATTGCCGCCCAACGGGGACCCCAACTTCAAGTTGTTCATCATCCGGGGCTCACCCCAGCAGATTGACCACGCCAAGCAGCTCATTGAGGAAAAGATCGAGGTGGGCTCTCCAGGGGCTTGGGGAAGGGGGACTTTGGATTTGCATTGCTGTCTTACCCTTCCCTGCTGATCTCCACCCTGTTGATTCCTCTAGGGTCCTCTCTGTCCAGTTGGACCCGGCCCGGGTGGACCTGGCCCTGCTGGCCCAATGGGGCCCTTCAACCCCGGACCTTTCAATCAGGGCCCCCCAGGCGCACCCCCTCAGTGAGTGTTCCCCTGCCTGGTGGTCAGAGCACTGGTCTGGGGGCCTGAGCCCCCCTGTGTGAGGGGGAGTCAACTCCAGCTCAGCCATCCCATGTGTGAGAGCAGAGCTGCACTCCAGAGGGTGTCCTATGGCTGGTAGTTGTCTCTCTTTTTTTGGAAGTAGATAACCAAGTCTTTCTTCCTGGTGCGTCTGGGTGAATTCTACTGAGAATGCTCACTGCTAGACCACCCAGAGGTTTTCTGAATTTGTTGACAACTATAATATCCCGTGAGCGTTGACCCCAATCACCACTCATAGATCCACACACCATGTGTTTTTTTTCATCCATCCTTGCCCCTCCCCAGTACAGCCACAACCCCAACGTGTGTGTCTCTCTTATCCTGCAGTGCCGGGGGCCCCCCTCCTCACCAGTACCCACCCCAGGGCTGGGGCAACACCTACCCCCAGTGGCAACCACCTGCCCCTCATGACCCCAGTAAGTAACGGGCCCCTGGGGAGCAGGGCTGGAGGTGCGCTCCTGGCCTCAGCTCTGTTTCTTTCCTATGTTAGATAAAGCAGCGGCCGCCGCAGCGGACCCCAATGCTGCCTGGGCTGCCTACTATTCACACTACTACCAGCAGCCCCCGGGCCCAGTGCCAGGTCCTGCACCGGCCCCCGCAGCTCCCCCAACTCAGGGCGAGCCTCCACAGCCCCCACCCACCGGCCAGTCGGACTACACCAAGGCTTGGGAAGAGTATTACAAAAAGATGGGTGCGTGTGTGTTGGGGCTCAGGGAGGACCCAGTGCCGTCCTTAAAGGGCCTCCTGACCGTAGTGGTTTCTGCCTCACTCAGGTCAGCAGCCGCAGCAGCCAGGAGCACCTCCACAGCAAGACTACACGAAGGCCTGGGAAGAGTACTACAAAAAGCAAGGTCAGCCAGTGGCCGGGTGGGCTGGTGCTGGGTGGGCTGCTGAGTCCCCCATCCCTTTCACTCATCTCTGCTTTCCCCCCACAGCTCAAGTGGCCACTGGAGGAGGTCCAGGTGCACCCCCCGGCTCCCAGCCTGATTATAGTGCTGCCTGGGCTGAATATTACAGACAGCAGGCCGCTTACTATGGCCAGACCCCTGGCCCCGGTGGCCCCCAGCCTCCTCCCACACAGCAGGGACAGCAGCAGGCAAGTGGGAACTGCCACCCTCCTCCTCCTCCTTTCTCCTTCCAGCCCCCGGCCACCGTCCATCCTGCCTTAGTGGGTAGCGCCGGCAACCCCTTCCCCTGTGGGGTGTGCCCCTGATGCCGGCCACGGGGCTGAGGTCTCCGGGAGCCCCCGCCAGCCGGGGGCATGTGCACTGGGTCCAGAGGCTCAAGGAGAGGCCTCCGCCGCCAGCCTGCTTGTTCCCGTGGGACGCCAGCAAGACACAGGGGGAGCGCCCGAAAGACACAGGCGGGACTCTGGAACTGGTGGGTAGGCGGGGGAGGGGGCAGCAGACAGCTCGGGGCTGGTCGCCAGCCCGACTGCCGACTGACTCCCTCAAACTTGGCCACCTGGGCAAAGAACAAGTTGTTTTTTCCCCTTCTCTGCATTACTTTTTTGGTTTTTGTTCCTTTGGTTCTTCAAGTTTTAAACCCGCGGTATTTTCTCCCCTGCCCCATGTCCAAGTGACTGTGTTGCAGGCGGTCCCAGCGTGGGGTCAGTGCTGGCTCGCCGTGCGGGGGGACGGGGAGGCCATCTGTCTGTCCATCCACCTGCCTGCCGCTGTGTCCCGGTCTTGTCTGTGACGTGGGCATGACGATCTTTGCCACCTTCCAACCTACCTCACAGGGGTGTTGTGGGGACACCGTGAGCTCAGAAAACATAGATGTTGTGATGCGCCGGGAGCCGCCCCCCCTCCTCTCCTGCCCCTTCCACCTCTTCCCCCTTCCACCCAGTGCTTCTCTACTCCCATCTGTCTGTCTGTCTGTCTCTCTCTCTCTCTGCGGCCCCTCCTGCTCAGCCCTGTGCTCCTTCTCCACCTAGGAGCCATCCTGACTAGTCCTTCCAGCACGACAGACTCCGCCAGCCAGTGCCCGGGCCTGGGCTTTGTCCCCACCCCTCCCCAAGTGACCAATCCCTATCTCTCCCCTCTCCGCAGGCTCAATGAATCGAATGAATGTGAACTTCTTCATCTGTGAAACTCTGTATTTTTATTCTTTTTTTTTTTTTTTCCATTTTGTTTTGTTTGAGGCTTTTTTTTTCCTTCTGTTTGTTTTATTTTGGGGGGGTGGGTCTGGCGAGAGAGCGATGGCTACCGCAGGGTGGGATGGGGGGGACAGGAGCCCTGGCTCTGAGCAGCCGGGGTTGGCGGTCTGGCTTTCGCTCTCTCGCACTTTCTGTCCCATCCCTTTCCTATCACAATCTGGGATCCTCCCTATTGAGCCCGCCATAGAAGATGGCGGGGACTAAAATCTCTGCAAAACAAAACAAACGAGAGAGAGGAAGAAAGACAAAAGCCAAAAGTAAAACAAATCCTATAAAATGATATATATATATAAATAAATCTCTATTCCCCCAGCCCTCCTGAAGCTGCCTCTTGAGAGTAACATAATTCATTTGCTCCCTAGACCACCCTTGGCCCTCTTTCTTGTTTTTAAAATAAACTTTTTTAAAAAGGAAAAAAAAAAGTCACTCTTGCTATTTCTTTTTCTTTTTAGTTAGAGTTTGGAACATTCCTTGGACCGGGTGTTGGTATTGCAGGAATAACCCATCCCTTGTCCCCTCAGCCTCTCTGCTCCTTTCTTGCTCAACCCCAACCCCACCCCCACCCCCACCCCCAGGACTGGTCTGTCGTGTTTCATCTGTTCAAGAGGAGATTGAAACTGAAAAAAAATGAAAACAAAAATTGTATGGCAGTTTTTACTTTTTATCGCTCGTTTTTAACTTCACAAATAAATGATAACAAAACCTCCCCGTGTCTGCTGGGTCTGTCCCTCCCCCCGCTCTGTTCGTAGCTCTAAAGCCTGTCTGTTGTTTCTAGATGTTGTGAGTGCCCAACACTGGTGACTGGAAAAGACAAGAACACAAGTGAAAATAGTTTTCTGCAGGTGTATTGTGCTTTCTTAACTTTTTTCTTTTCCTTTTTTTTGGTTAAATAAAAGTGCTTTTTTGTTTAAAAGCTGTGTGCTGGCTGCCATTGTATTTGTAGGGAAAGAGGACTGAGGTTTGGCCCACGAGGATGGGTTACGGTGCCCTCACGGGAAGGGGAGATAGCCCGCGGGATGGGTTCCCATGGACGCAGTCCCGTTGGGCCTCCCGTGAGGGAGCACATAGCCTGTTCAGTCAGGTGGCATCCATCCTAGTCCTGGCTGTCCCGACCTGTGGATGGCAGAGGACTGGGCCTAAACTCTATCCCAGGATGCACACTCCTCTGGGGATTGCAGGAGTTTCCACTTGAACTTGGGTCAATAACCATCCAAAGAGGTTTTTAAGTCAATCCGGCTGCGTGGGCCGAGAGGCCTGAGTGGCAGTAGTGACAGTTGTTGCCTCCAGGTGGGGCCATCAGACCTCCCAACACAGATACCTGCAAAGTTAACCAGGAAACTGCCCCTGTGGGTGGGGTTGCTAGCTGAGGGAACTAGTCCCAGGAAAGGGGCGCCTGCTTAGCAGTGTCTACAGGAGGGTTAGTCTAGGCAGGAACCTTGGGGGCTGTGCTCACCGCAATAGCTCACCTTGCTGGGCCCCTGTCCGGCTCACTGCAGGCTCTCAATGACGGAACAGCACTTAGCAAAGATGCTCTCCGGGGCCTCTTCTGCCAGGATCTAGAGGAGAGGAGCCAGTCTTGAGTCAGAGCCAGGACCATCTGGAGCAGCTGGGGACAAACAGGTCCCTGAACCCTGTTTATAGAATAAAGTGAGTGAGGGGAGAGGGTGACCACAGGCTGACCAGGAGGGGGATGAGGGTATGGCCTGCCAGTCCTCCATCTCCTTGCACCTGGACAATGCTCCACAGGTGGCTCGGGAGAGCCTGCCACATGCAGACAAATGGAAACATGATCACGGCTCCCACCATGTTTTCTTGACTGCACAAGACAGCAGGAAGAGAGTCACTTGAAGATGTGCCTGGATGGCTGCAGTTGACCTGGGCTGTGGGTGACCACTTGCCCTAATCTTCCATTTAGTTGCTGTTTTTGAAAATACTTATTTTAATCTTGCTATCTTTTGGAGCCATTCAGTTTGCTTTAGGAAGTCTGGGAGGCACCTGCAGTTTGCAGTCTGCTCCTAATTGCAAAGAGGTTCAAACCCAGCCAGTAAGTTCCTTGGAAGAAAGTCCTGGCCACTGCTTCCTTGAACTGTTATCATAGTTGTGGAGTCAACTCGGACCCAGGGGCCCCATGTGACAGAGCTGAAATACCCCACAGGGTTTTCTTGGCTGTTACCGTCACAGGAGCAAATTGCCAGGTCTTCTCTGGTTTTAGGTGGGTTCGAACCATCAAACCTTTCATTTAGCAGCTGAGCACTTAATGATTGTATATAAAACACCAATTCTGCTATATGGGGTCTTTGAGGACTTGGGGGCCAACTCCAAGGAAACTAACAACAAATGTGCTTAGATCTTCAACCTGGTCAGAGTCTGTGCCGCACAGCATGATGGGAAAAGGTACCAACCAGATGGGTGGGGTACCAACCAGAAGGAGGAAAAATGAGACTTCCAACTCAAATGGAAACCAGATTAATGGATCCATAGAGGCTGGGGGAACACTGCCTCCAACCTAATGCCCCCCGAATCATCTTGAAACCTTGAAACTATCCCATGAAGCCATCGTTAAGTGAAATAACAGCTTAGCCCCCCCCCCTTTTTTTTTTTTTGCATACATGCATATATAATGTACACAATGTATTGAGTCAGTTCAGACTCATAGTGACCCTGTATAGGGTTTCTGAGGAGCGCCTAATGAGCTTGAACCACCGACCTTGTGGTCAAGTACTTATCCTACCAGAACTGCTGGGAACTAATGCATGCAGGGATTGCATGACCATTTGGTGTGTGTTACTTGTATTACACATACATGGTAATAAAGAATAATATGAGTGTAAACTGAAGACAAACTAAAGCACATGAAGAACATTTCAGGGAGGGGCAGAGAGCCTACACTCACGGTGGGTCAAAGTAGAATGATCTCTGTGGCTTCATTTTCAGCCGAGCAATAGATAGGCAGACCTATGTTACTGTTATTAACGTCCATGTAGTCCGTTCCAACACCTACCGATCCTGTATAGGGTTTCCAAGGAGCGGCTCATGAGCTTTCGGTTCAAATCAACCTTGCAGTCCAGCGCATTAACCCGCAGCGCCACACCAAGACTCCAGGTAGGTGTATGTTTTTGTTAAGTACCATCGAGTCAGTTCCAACCCATAGCGCCTTGTATAGGGTTTCCGAGGAGCAGCTGGTGAGCTTGAACCGCCGACCTTGCGGTTCAAATTGACTTTGCAGTCCAGTGCATTAACCCATAGCACCACACCAGGACTCCAGGTAGGTGTATAGGAGGGAAGAACACCATTTGTGAGTTACACACACCATACATAGAATGGCCAACTGGAAGGCGTGAGGTGAGTGATGCTACATGGAGGGGACTGTAAACATGCATGAAACTATGATCCTGCTCTAGGTAAACCTTCACTCCATTTGCAAAGAAAAGTTAAAAAATAAATAAAGCACGGTGACGCAATGTGACCATTATATATGATGAGCTATGTGACCAATATCACCAGACTCTTCATGGAGATTTTGTGAATGAATGGATGGATGTTTGGTCATGTTGATTGCCTGCCACCCAAAAGAAAATATTGAAATAACAGAATGATGTGTGCCCGGAGGGAAAAGGCCCAGGACCAGGCCAGGCACTGCCAGGGGGCATGCAGGGCACTTACGTTTCGGAGCAGGTTCTTCTGCTGGTAGAAGGTCAGCAAGGGCTGGCACAGGGCATAATGGGTCTCCAGGCGCTGCCGGATGGTAGCCTCGCAGTCGTCAGCCCGGTGTTCCTGCAGCCCACGCCAGACCACCCTCCGCACCATTGTCGCCATGGAGCAGTCGAACAAGATGACCATGTTGGGTGCCCGGCCCACCTAGGCACCGAGGGAGGAGGCAGAGTGAGAAACCAGCAGGTATTTGGCGATTGTAAGGGCTACTAGGGAAGATCATTGGGCTTGGGCTTTGTTTAAGTTCATGTTTCTGTCTAGTGTCGTTACTTTTTTTGGGAGGGTGGTGGTGACGTTGGGTGGTGTTGAGTGGATTCTGCCTCATGTGACAGAGTAGAACTGCC